CACACACACACACACACACACACACACACACACACACACACACACACACACAGAAGGAGGCTAAGAAGATGACAATGTAGGAAAACCAAAAGTTAATGAGACCTTGCACTCCGTATACGTTGGTACTGTGGCCCATCCACCCACTCTCCGAATGATTAATGCTCAGAAATAAGATCGCCACGAAGTTCATATGTACCTTCTGGTTGAATGTCACAAACATGCAACTATTGTCGACAGATCAAGAGTTCAAACCTCAAGTCCTTTGGTATAGATACAAAAAAACGGGATGCAGTGATACACGCTTCAAGATTAGAAAGGTCATCATGCAATTTGAATTTGAAGTTTCATTCGGTGGGAGATGCACGCTCTTCGGAAAAAAAGAAGCCAGAATGAGATTTCATTTCATGCACGCCTTGTGGCAACTTAGTGAAGTAGACGAAGCTATGGCTGAAGGAGATTGAACAGGGATATGCGTATTTTTGTGAATGGAATTCTGGGACCATGGTTAGGTGGAAGCAACTCAGAGCATGATTCGGATCGTGGGACTCTCAGCTACTCTTCCAAATTACCTGGAGGTATGTGGTCACTCTCCGGCTTTTTCCTCCTTACCTTGATACATGGCCAGCTTCTAATTTTGTAATTGTTTCTTTTCTTCTATTTGTCCGCCTCTCATTGCCATTCTTCTGCGGAATCCTGTTCAACAAGTGCCTGCATGACATGCACTTAAATGAGGTCCAATATTCCTGGGCATTTCAATGGATTTTGAGAATTTTTGACTATGTAATAGTAAGTAATATGTACTAGTCTGTAATGAACTGCAATGTTGGTTTTGTCACCTTTTTAAAGGCTTTTTTTATGCTTCCTGCCAGTTCCTGGGCATTTTTGTATCAAATTTTACTCAGTGCCGATTCGTGGGTGATCGTGCTAGTGAAATGCAGTTCGGCGAACTGTTTATAATCCTTCAGTGATGTTTCCTCAGACTGGTCGGTGTGGAGGGGGTGGAAACGAAGAAAGCATCTTGTCGGTCCCGCAATATCTGGAAGACAAGGGAGTTTGTATGTAACATGAGTGTTGCAGTGGGCTTCACAATTGTTGGTCACAAAGAGTGAGGAGGGAGAGGAGGAGGCAAATAAGGAAGAGGGGGATTGATTACTCTGTATGACAAAAGTTAAGAACACATATTTACCATCCCCCCCCCTCTCCCTCGAACACCTCTTCCTTCACTCTGCCTCTTTCCCATAGCGTGCAAGTGGGCTGTTATGACATATGGGGATGGGGGCAGCTCGCGCTCAACTTCATCAACGTGCCGAGCCTTGTACGTTAGAGGCACAGTGGAGGAGGCGTCAAGAAGACTGAGAAACTGAATGATTTCAATGTGTCTTTGTTTTTTATTTTTATCCTTTGATTCAGTGTATTTTTTTGTAAAACACTGAAAGAAATAGTAATACTGTGAAACAAAGAATAAGAGGACACTGTTTTGTGTCATTCTGGTTTGTCTGTCTCTTTGCCTGTTCGTCCTTTCATTTTTCTTTTCTTCGCTCATCTTATTTCTTCTTCTACTTCACGTGCTTACGCTCTTAGTCAATAGTTCTGTGACAAAATACAGGGTTACCTGACCGAACGTTCGGGGGCCCCTGGGCTGGCCCCCGAACGTTCGGGCGTTCGGGGTCCCGTTCGGGGGCCGAACACCTCCAGGTTCGGCCCCCGCCAAGAAATGTTTCGGGCCCTGAAAATAAGTTTTTTTTTCTGAGTTTTTTTTTGTGAGTTCTCTATGCTGTAACCTACACGCCTATAAATTTTGAAGCCATTCTGCTAA